TCACCTTTCTTGGGAATAGGCATAAATATGGATCTCTTCCAGTAGGTTGGCCAGGTAGCTGTCTTCCAAATTTCTTGGCATAGACGAGTGAGCACTTCCAGCACTGCATCTGTTTGCTTAAACATCTCAATTGGTATTCCATCAATTCCTGGAGCCTTGTTTTTCGCCAGTGCCTTCAGTAGAGCTTGGACCTCTTCCTTCAGGGCCATTGGTTCTTGATCATATGCTACCTCCCGAAATGGCTGAACATCGACCAATTCTTATTGGTACAGTGACTCTGTCTGTGTATTCTTTCCATCTTCTTTTGATGCTTCCTGCATCGTTTAATATTTTTCCTGTGGAATCCTCCAATATCACAATTCGAGGCTTGAATTTTTTCTTCAGTTCTTTCAGCTTGAGAAATTCCGAGGGTGTTCTTCCCTTTTGGTTTTCTATTTCCAGGTCTTCGCACATTTCTTCATAATAATACTTTGTCTTCTCAAGCTGCCCTTTGAAATCTTCTGTTCAGCTCTTTTACTTCATTTCTTCCTCTCGCTTTAACTACGTTCAAGAGCCACTTTCAAAGTATCTTCTGACATCCATTTTGGTCTTTTCTTTCTTTCCTGTCTTTTTAATGACCTCTTGCTTTCTTCATGTATGTCATTCCACAGCTTGTCTGGTCTTTGGTCATTAGTGTTCAATGCGTCAAATCTATTCTTGAGATGGTCTCTAAATTCAGGTGGGATATTCTCAAGGTCGTGTTTTGGCTCTGGTGGACTTGTTCTGATTTTCTTCCGCTTCAACTTGAACCTGCACGTGAGCAATTGATGGTCTGATCTGCAGTCGGCCTCTGGCCTTGTTGTGATGGATGATATTGAGCTTTTCCATCGTCTCTTTCCACAGATGTAGTCGATTTGATTCCTGTGTATTCCACCTGCTGAAGTCCACGTGTATAGTCACCATTTATGTTGGTGAAAAGAGGTATTTGCAATGAGGAAGTCATTGGACTTGCAAAATCCTATCATGCAATTTCCAGCATTGTTTGTATCACGAAGGCCATAATTTCCAACTACTGATCTGTCTTCATTTCCAACTTTCACATTCCAATCATCAGTAATTAGCAATGCATTCTGATTGCGTGTTCGATCAATTTCAGACTACGGAAGTTAAAAATCTTCCATTTCTTCATCTTTGGCCTTAGTTGTTGGTGTGTAAATTTGAATAACAGTCATACTAATTGGTTTTCCTTGTAGGCGTATGGATATTATAAAACTATCACTGACAGCACCGTACTTCAGGATAGATCTTGAAATGTTCTTTTTCATGATGAATGCAATGCCATTCCTTTTCAATTTATCATTTCCAGCATAGTAGACCATATGATTGTCTGATTCCAAATGGACAATACCAGTCCATTTCACCTCACTAATGCCTAAGATATTGATGTTTATGCGTTCCACTTCATTTTTCAAGATTTCCAATTTTCCTAGATTCATACTTCGTACATTCCACGTTCCAATTATTAATGGATGTTTGCAGCTGATTCTTCTCATTCTGAGTCTTGCCACATCAGCAAATGAAGGTCTCGTAAGCTTGACTCCATCCACGTCATTAAGGTTGGCTCTACTTTGAGGAGGCAGTTCTTCCCCAGTCGTATTTT